ACCGCCAGCAGCGTTCAGCCGTGGACGCGATTGCCTGTCTAATGCACTTTATTATACATGACCGACCGGAAGCACAAACCGATTGACACAATTTTCAGGAAGGAGGAAACAGCAAACTGTTGCCTGGTTTTATAACACGCCTGATGTGGTTGACCACTCCAAGTCCCGGGGATCAAATTGCCGGTTACCGTCACTGAACAGCAGATTCTTGTGACTACGGGGTCCGCTCCGTCTGTTGTTCATCACACAATGGTGTGTAGTAAAAAAAAAAGAATGAGGAAAGTCAGGCGTTCGTGGTGGAACCTGAAAACACGTCCTACAGGGTAATAATTCGGAGGCTTTTACTACTCGACCACCGGAGTATACTACTCCCATCCAGTAACACTTCTTGCTGTTCTGTCAAAAGTAATGGAGTCAGTTGTCGCTGATTTTCTAATAGAGTATTTCGAGAAGTATAACACTGTCGCCGGTCCAACACGGTTTTCGAAGAAAACGGCTGTGCACCACAAAGTTGCACGAGATGAGCGGATAAAATCGGTTGCCGCAGGAAAAGCAGTAGACAGCTTACTTGGATTTCTCCAAAGTTGTTAACCGAGTTAACCTTCGGGTACTGCTGTGAAAGTTCCATAGCCACAGCGCTGACTGAACTGAGGAACCAAAGTGGTCATAGAGTTACAACCCAAGGGGCTGCAAATCCTCGGACTCTATTAATCGGAATACTGTAAAATTTGTGGAAACATGATTCTCGTACATCAAATACTACATCCACTTAACCACCGTGTAGTACTCTACAAACATCAGTTACCTATGGATTCGGACTTTCTCAGGTCGCTAGTTTCAGTTCGCACAACCATTAATCATGCACTTTCGTGCGCCACTTTACACTACCGTGTTTTGGTAGCCAATTCGGTTGAAGGTGTAAAACACCGATGGGAAATTTGATAGGGGATTCGAAAATAATATCAGCGGAGAATCTCAGTAGACCAAGGTTGCAGAGAAATTGAGATGCACGAACGTCATTTTTTACGACACTCAGCTATATAACTCAGTGTCTCTAACCACTGATTGCACTGATCCCGAGGTTCCCGTCCAGGGAGCCTAACGGGATCCATGTGACAGTCTCCTGGTTAGGGTTTTCATACCCCCTTACCAGATCTTAGTTTCACCGCCCTTGATTTTATTACTCCCACTGCCTGCTAAGGCAAACATCGCGCACCGTGACAGTCTATTTGGCGACATGCGTATTACATGCTCCAACCAATGTATTCTGTGGAGGTCGACCGCTTAGTCCAGCGGGTGACCGCGGTTACTGAAAAATCTGCGCCTAACCTCAGCATTGCTCGTCCGGATGCCCCACCATATTCGTGCAATGCTGCGTAGACAGCAGTTCTCGGACACGATTAGCCTATCTTTATTCTGCTTTCATTACTGGCCAAGTTTCTGTGCCGTATAGCAGAACTGGTCCAACTGTTGCAGCATACATTCGACCCTTCACACAATCAGATATCGCAGCGGTGCCAGAGATGTTCCAAGTTGGAAAATGCCAACCGAGTTATCTTCATGAGAGCTGAAAACGCATCCGTGATGTATCTACCGGATGAGATATAAATTCCCAAATAAAATTTATCCACTTGTTCTATTACTTCCCCAGTTAGTGAGGCTGGGGACTGAACTAACCAAATCTTGTAGCAATACTGTTTTTCACTTTGAAGGTGCGAAGTGCATACCGAAAATAGCTACGCTAACGCTCAAACTACCGACAGCTTGTCCAAATCTTCACACAGCAGTACAATGTCGTCTGTATACTCCAGATCAGACATACTACCACTCGGGAACAACTTGATGCCACTATTCTCACGCGAGGTCTGGGCGGTTTCCATAACCAAATCGATAACAAAATTAAATGGAATCGAGTGCCAAAGTGCCGGACTCGGCTTCTGTGATTGGTATAAAGGGTTCGTAATACTGAAATAAATTTATGGAACACGTCCTTCGAGGAAAGGCAGCACCAGAGGTTAGAGCGGTTATTGAATCCAAGGTTGCTTTCAGATCGAGGAAGACAGAAATGGTGAGTCTACAAAAGGAAAGTCGGTGTTCCAGATTTTGGCTAAGAGTGAAGGTTATCATCATCATCATACAGCGAAATACAGTGAAGCTAACTTCACTGATCGCTACCAAACTCGCAATGCATACAAGATTAGTGGTAAAATTTAAGGTGGATATAGATTGGACCTACTTTGAGGTAGGGAGAATGAGGTGACCCACTATGGTCGACACAGAGTGCACAATCGAACTCTGCATACATACCGTTTCAAGCGTTCTGGCCTGATAGGTGAAGAGTGAAGATGTGGTCGATACAATCTCGATCAGGTCTAAAACCAGCCTGGTACTCATGGGTGCATCTGTCACACACGGCAGACAATCGACGTACTATGGTCTCAGCGAGATGNNNNACCAATTCCTGTGGTTTCATAGGAGGACCTGTCACCTTTCTTGTGCATCAGTAAGATGACCGATTCGCACTATTTATTTGAAAGCTGCTTCCTCTCCAACACCGGACCCAGGAGTTTCGTCAACTCCAAGACCAACGCTGAACCTAAATCCTTGAAAGCCGACAGGAAAACCCACCCGGGCCGGAGGCCTTATGTCTTTCGATATAAATTATGTACCGGAAAACCTAGATTTCAGACTGAGGACTGGTATCAGCTGAGAGTACTTGCCAAGTCGAGACGGCGTGGGGTGGGATGGTGAGAGATCAAATATCGATGGAGGCCGGTTGAACTGAGCCTCGAAATGTCTAGTGAATCGATCGAGACGGAGTTGCTGATGATGAATTAGTATCATTTGACTACTTAATTACCTAATTTAGACCTACTTTTCTTGGGCCCGTATTCTTACTTGGGCGGAAAATGGTGTAACCATTACCAATAGCAGCAGCTTTCTCCATCTCTCTACATTTTGTTACCCATCACTTCTCGCGGTCATTCCTCTGACTTTTGATTAAGGGATTTGCGTGTTGTCATATTTAGCACCGGGACTAAAG